TGATATCGATTATGCGAGTATATTGATGCTTTAAATCGATCAGTTTCTGTAGTTTGTATATTAGGTTTAGGATCTTTGGATTTATTGTTGATAGAATAAGAAAACTTTAAATGATATGATAATGAGGTATTAGTTTATTGGTGAATGAGGTTCGTGGGAGTGGAGCTAGGGAGAGGTTTTGATTGAAGGTTGTACAAATAGTTGTATTGGGAGAGTGGGTGTGGAAGGCAGTAGACATTTGGCGAATGGGCTAGTGATAGGAAGCTTTATAGGAGTAATCAAAAGCTTAAAAAATTTATATGATTTTAGTATAATATAACGATTACATCATTTAGAATATTAAGATAAAGAGTTAAAAGAGCTCTTCGGAAGGAAGTGGTAATATACAGGATTGTGGATCACGTGAGGATCTAGCCGATCCACTAATATGACAGGATCGTCACACCTATCTCCTGATCAAAGTGACCATTAGATATAGCTATTACCTCCGTGATATTTTAATATTTGAAAAATACAATATATCAATTTGAATAAAATTAATTTAAAATTCGAAATTAATTTAAATTATAAAAATAATTCTTTTTGATATAAAATTGTATTTTGCTATCACATTGTTCTGTGAGTCTGTGTACTTACTGGTGGTACTTAACGTGAACCATCCTTAGTCATTGCGTCCTCAGGATTGATTTGCGGTCGATGCACTTCATCTCCATAATTTTCATATTCTCGCAGCATTGTCTTGAAACCAGAATATCAATCATCAAGCTCTGTTCTGCAGTCCTGGACTTTTGGAGAAACCATCGTCGACTGTATCTTCGATGTCGAATCCTGCAAAAAAGTTTCTCCTTTCGGCATCGGGATTTGACTCGGTGTTAGGAGCTTCCCCCTTGTTCTTAGTGATTCATTAATTGTATGGTTTGTCGAAGGCCTTGTTTTTCTCGTTTCAAAATTCTCCCTGTGTTCACTTCTTGCCCCTCTTGAGAGTATTTAGTTGATCGATACCCCTCTTTCTTGCAAATGTAGCATGTTTGCTTCGAGCCTATAAAGAGTGTTGCCGTGATTTGTTACGGAAGTTGTTCCTGGAGTAATTTTGGCCATTGCCATCGTCCCGGAATCTCCGGCAAATAAAAAACACTGCATCTTCCTGGTTTTTATGCTATCTCTCTCACGAGTTTACGGACTGCTTATTTGATTGATCAAACCTGGCACATCTTTCTTTGAGTCAAAACAAGTCATATCACATGCTTCTACCACCTCGCAGGCCATGGCAAACTTATTGTGTAGGTGTGATTGGATCGAGCCTGTGTTGCAACAGGAGGGGTTCCCAGATTATGATTTTGAAGCACTCGCTGAATGGTTTATCTTTCTTTTTTCTCTTACTCGACTTGAGTTTAATATAATGCTGTCACATTGAGAGGGCATGTTGGGTTGATATTCATCTCCTTCGAAGTCGTTCTGCATGTAGTCGCAAAGTTCTGGATAAATCGGCGGCAACCCTACATGCTTAGTAAGAAAGAAGTCTAGTGCGCTGTAGTCAAGCGTTATGGGGAAGGTTTTAAAAGGAGATTATGTTCAAAAGTTAGAAGTTGAAGTTATCATTATCCCCGCTATGTCACCAGCGTTACGATCTCCCTCTTCTCTGCGCTCGCCATCTTGGTCGCCGTCGTCATCAACTGCTCTTCGTCCGTAGTTTTTTATGACGAACTCGCTAGTGAAGCCATATCGAAACCCGGAATCGTCAATATTGGCGCCTTGAAGGTATCACCAGGCTTGGGGATAGTTTGCATGTCAATTCCGCGATTAAATCCGTTGAATCCTTCGCAGTTCTTTGAAGCAGCGGGCCCCGCATTTTCTGTAAAACTACAGAATTCGACGGGCCGCACTTTTGTCGTTTGCATGTAAAATTCGCTGCATAATCCCTCAAAAGCAAGAGAAGTGGAACGTATAACTGCGTTACATTTTGCTGCCGTTCACTAATTGGCTAAAGAACAAGCGGATATGGGGATCGCTTCAATGCCAATAATTCATTTCAAAAAGTATACGACTATAGCTATGGGGTATTCTCAGTATATATAGTAGAATTTTGGAGTATTGAAGCCTACGATAGCCTACAATGACTCAGAAAAAGAACCGATTCTTTGATAGATTGAAGTGAGTACTCGGACTACCCTTCCTGACCGCCGTACGACTTTTTCCTCACATAAATTTCATCAAAAATGTGGATCGGATTTAGATTCTAGAAAGTCCTTTCGATAATTCGTTGAATTATAAGATGCTTTGTAGAATCTGCGCGTTTACGACCAAACGTGAATGCAAACTCTGCTATTTGAAAAAAAAATTCGACGTATTTCTGTACATCCGAACCAGCCCTTGTTCCTCGATTTATGTGTTAGTCGCGGTCCTTGAGGATTGATCGAATAATGCTTTGTCCGCCTCAACACTGAGCTTTGGCAATCAAACTCCTCGAACTCGTAGTTTTAAGCATCAATTTGCAAGAATTTCTCGAAATAATCGAGTGTGAAGATATTGAAGATATTATATAAGATGTCTGCGAGCTCGCCACTGTTGATATTTTCAAAGTCATACTAATTCCTGATTTTAAATCAAGATCAAGTGTTTCCCAGTGAGCTTGCTAGTAATTCCAAGTTTTCCAATTTGGAAAGAGGGGCATGGTGTTATACAACAAGTCACATGTAACATACAGGATGATCATATCAAAATATCTCTAACGATCATTTATTCCCTCAGGTGCTGTCTAGACATGTGATATCCGCCACCCAATCAAGCAAAATATTCACGCAAAGAGTTCCAATAGCTAACTCAATCAACCATACCATCACGTTGCGAGAAAATTGTTGTGGTAGAATATATGATATTCTACGAAGAGCTCAAGAGGAGGAACAAAAACAAGAAAGAGCGCCGACCATATGATAAGTTGATGCCTAAAGCGTGACAATATCTATGCTAGTAAATCCGTGACAAAAGCTCAAGACAAGCTTATCGTGTTTAGTGACCTCTAAGATGATCTTAAGCTTGCCTCCCTTAATCAAAGAAAAGAGAGGTATCTTGCCGAGGTATGATTCATTTTGTGTATTCATTCATTGACTCCTCTGGTGAAACATCCTTAGTGGATTACTTATTTTGTCGAAAGGTAATAGATAGAGGAACTAATTTTTCGAGGCTGTAGATTGAAATTAATCCTAAAACAATGTTAGAAATTTGGTCCCATTTTTTACCGAATATCCTTACATAGAGATTTACTATATCGATATCTCGACAAAGCAAAATAGAACCAAAACAACTCCTACTGATAGAATGTTTCGAAGATTTCTCTTGAGCTCTTGAATTTGTATATCTTGAGCTTGGATTATAGATATCTCGGATTCGGTTCGAATTCGATGACTTGGGAGTATTAGCAAACGTTGACATAACAACTCAAATCAAAAGGCAACAAAGTTGTTATGATATTGATAGAGTTGATATCATATTTGTTTAGATTTTTTTGTTCGAATTTGTTCAATTATAGATGTTAGCGTAAGATTATATAAGATGTGCTGAACAGTAGTAAAAGGAATAAATTTTTAGTGTAAGAGAAGTATGGTATTCAAGGAAGTTCATTCAGTAGTCAAATTGTTGCTAAAAGATGAGCCGTATGAATGTACACTAGATTTAGATTTAGAAACAGTACAACTTCTATGAAAATCAACCACTCACGATTGAAGTTTCCCAAGGAACAGTATTAATAGATTGTACTGCAAGTCATGACAACCATAAGCGAAAATGGAGGTAGTCTTAGGTAGAAGGCGAAAGCTTTTCCTTGAGGAAATATTGATGTGTAGTTCGCAAGCGAATTCTGGAGAACAAGATGATCACTGAGTGGAAAATGCATAAGATGATTGAGAATGAACTATCCAATTACATAAAGTTCTTCAAACGTTTGGTTTGAGCTTTGTGGAATGATTTGATATAATACATCAAAATTTATGTAAGTTTTGTTTTTGATTTCAGCATTAATTTCAAGTCTCAATTTAAGTTCAGAATCTCTGAATGATTGACCACGGATAGCAGTGGGTATCAATAGCCCCTTTCTAATCAATCGATGACTGAGTCATGGGTGACCCAATAGCCATTTCTGGGTTGGCGGGCTGCTTTATACTACAGTCGGTATGACTTTCTCCCCTCCTGATGCTCAAGCTTCATGGCTTGAACACATACTTGTGGATGTTCATGGTGCACATGCGTCTGAATTTGCCGAAGTAATAACGTCCTGTCCAAAGTGTGTTCATGGAGAGCCAATGTTCGGGCAAGAATCTGTCGTTTAACGGCTTTTGTCTTTCATGAACTTGTCACTTCTCGCGCTGATGAAGGGATTGACGTCATTGATGCTACCATTGAGTTCAAAACACTCCGAGAAGAGAAATATGATAGTATATTAGTTCTTCCAGCTAATGAAACTGTAGTCGTTGGAATATTCAATTGAGACACTGTTTTTAGTTCACTCACCATAACAGTCTATTTCAATATAACAGTTTGAATATTTTCGGTGGGCATTGGAATATGTGACACACTTCTATGGTAATATGGTTGAAAATGGCGAGGCTATTGCACTGCCTGTCTATTGAACATAGGCCTTTGCGACAAACATGTCTCCCAGGTACAATTAGTTCTCACTCGAAGAATCTATTTAAAGCATTGTACGAAATACTGAGAGACTATATATGGGGTGCAATCATACGTCGATGATGTAGGCAGTCTATTCGTAACATGTGGGATGTCGCCAGCTTCTAGATAAGGAGTAAATTGAGCTACAACTACTAGCAGTACGAGCCTGATAAAAAATGGTTCGGCACACGCAATCACAGAATATTCTTGACAAATGGGTCTTGAAATTATCGAATATTGACGTATGGTAAATGGCTTATGAGGAGAGGCCAATGGAAGTACCTTCACAATACGAGGTAGAATGCAGAATAACAAAATAATTTTGGCACAGGGTTTGGAAAACATTGAAACATCCTTAAGATGCAGTTCAAAAATCGAAAGCTTTCGATTCCTGGATCTAGATAAACGATCAAATGTTTTGAAACACGAATTCCACCCCCAACGTCGTATCTTATTTTCAGAAATCAGAAGCTTATAACCCATCTGCCAATCCGGACCATAGAACATCCTTAATCGACGATCCACCAACCTCAAAATTAAGGTAAGATATGCTTTTGAAAGAAATCCAAGATAATAGGCGTAGCATTGAAGCTCGCCGGTCCTTCCCCATGCCCAATCAGATCAGCATTCAACACCGTACTCGGCCAATCATGGTCCAAATTCTTATCAAAAACATGCTGTACTAAGCCTTCATCCTCTCCCTTTCCATAACTATACACAACCGTGTCATGCGTCAAATCAGTCGTGACATTTTTCAGCTCCAACTTATCTCTCAGGGCCCATTGATGTACCCAGTGCGGAACAGTCGGTATACACTGATTGGACCGATTAGCCTGTCCATCATAATGAATCGTCGAGTCTTCACCGCCATGAAACTCAAGCATGGGAATCTTGGGACGTCCTGGAGAACATTGGATCGTGACATTGTTTGGGAAACATGGCTGGGTGTCGATATAATATGCACCAGAGACAGGAGCAAATGCAGCAATTTTGGTAGAGAGGATGGGATCACAGGCTAGAGTATTACAGAAACCACCCCCATCAGATTTACCGGTAGCCCATATGCGTTTGCTGTCTATGCAGTATGTTTTGTCAAGACTGTCAATTATATCGCTGACGAGCTGAGTGTCATTTGCTGTGTTTCCAGGGTTGCCCTCCCATTTTCCCTAATTTTTGTTAATCTTTGGCCTATTTTTGAGTTAGGGGATCTCGTTACCTTGACTCCTTGAGGGTATATCGTTATGGCGAAGTTGTTGAATTCAGGATTCGTCATTTGATCCAGCGCAAGTTGTTGTGATGCATTTCGATGGCCTCCATGGAAAGAAAATATGACGGGAGTCGAAGATTGGGATGTATAGAGGGGTGGAACGACGATAAGGTAAGATCGATTGACATCTGAACTTGTGATTGATATATTTTGAGGTTGTCCAATAGTGATATCTGATGGTATAGCTTTAGTGCAAGAAGGGTCTACTCGAGAATTTGTAACGCTGCGGACGACGTTATGAGCCGCCCAAGCTTGTATAGCATTCTTGAGAGAAACCATGATGTATGAAGTTTGTATGAGAACAAACAGCCAACTGATGAAATTGGCTTACCACTGGGTATTTACGTAGAGATATCTGCACGATGTATATTAATTACCTGAGGTCAGACGTCCACTTGAGTCATCAATCATTAGCTTTTGAGCTTCTCGTAGATCTCTTACTTGGGACCCTGAAGATCCTCACCGGTTGCAAAGATTTATCAAGTAAGATACGAAGTTGTGAACCAATCATGGGAAGATCCCAGAGATGTTTTCAGCTCAAGAAATATGTGAATTTGGTTTGCGTTATTGGAAAGGTGGGAAAACTGCAGCGAGGAAGCTGGCTTTGCGTATATTAAACAATGCAATGGAAAATAATGGATTAAAGATAGACATGATTGAGAGGTTATTACTTATAACAGAATTGAAAGAAGTTGGTGTTGTTGTTGGTAGTTTATGCAGTGAACATATCAGCATATTGGCATTTTGGGATTTTGGTGGTTTGGCAGGTGATCTACAGCCCACAGGTCCGCTAGCGGCAGCACTCCAGGTGAGATCTCATCAGCTCAGCAGCACACTCATGACACATCTTCTATAAATACCGAGTGAAGGAAGAATCTAAATGACGGCAGGAGAACTCATGTACGGGTCGGGTACCGTGCAACTGTACATCGTTCCTTCATCGCACGCCACGGTACGTTTCGTCAGAATACTCCGCCTGCGGTTCCTGATCCTCGAATGCTGTTTAAGTCCAGCATGATTACTCCCCGAAGTAACTTTGATATCGTTCTGATTTCACTGTTACGCGTTGTCAATCATATCCTTAGTTGCAATAAAAAATGATTTAAGAAGTCAATTAGTCTCCATATAAGCAAAATAACCACGAATTAAGGTGGGATTTCAGAGATATATGTCTGAATATCTAAACTAACTTCGAACATTCAATGCATTCAATTGTTAGATTCGAAATGGAATATTGAAAGTGTTTGATTGAAAAAAATGAAATTCGAGTATTGACTATAAGGTTTGCTTGGTGTACAACTTATTTTGACAATCGTGTGCGTGTCTAGTCTCACCAATGCAAACGATCGATGGGAGCGGAGACTCCACTACAATGTATAATTTAGCTGAACTAGCGTGAACTTAGTATAGTATGGCTGATAGGGGCTAGCTGATCATGTGCTTGTGCCTCCATACAGATAGACGCACACCTCGCTTATCGCTAAAATAAATTCAATCTCGTGGCCGAAAAAAAAAAGGCTTAAACACTAAAATCGACATCCAAATTCGAGTTTGATGATGAAGGTCTCGAACTTCTACATGCAGAATCGACAATCAAATAGTCCCTTGAGCTTTGTGTCTGGTATTTCGTGCTGGATTTCTCTTCAAATCGCGAGAGTATAATTCATGTCGGGCTATGGTGATTTCTCACGTCTGCCGTTGAGCGGATGGCAATCCATTTCCAAGTTGAGCTGGCTTCGTTCAATAAAGACGGAGAAAACTATATTGGTAGGCGAACCTCTAGTGAAAGAGCTGACCAAAGATCCTCGGAGTCTCAAAAAGAATGATTTAGGTCGAATCCGCAGCTTGGTAGTCTTGAAACATACCATTTCAAGCGAAATTGGAAGGATTCTGGATTCTTTACTGTCGGTACACCCATCTGATTAGTCTTAACTTCCCCGCCATTTCTGCTATTCTACTGGGGAAAGCACATTCCCAATAATCACTAGTGGTTGCTCAAACCTTTCTTATCGAGATGTTCATCGTTACACAAGTGGTTACGAATCGACCAGATCTCATGTTGAATTAACGAAACCCTGAGACCGCAATAACGTGTTGATGTTTCGTCCAATCAGCTTACTCATTGTCCAAACCAGCCTTACATCTGACCAGACAATTCGCTTCATGGGCATCACGCTGAAGGAACATTTGCCCTGCCATACTCATCTCCTTCGTCTTTGAGTTTACGATGTTTAAACGTCTATTTAAACTTTGCGGGAATGTCATGAAACTTCAATATGACACTGCCCCAAAACAAGTTCATGGCCGGACGGACGGGACACAAAGACGGCCCTTTTTGTGTACTCCTTACTTGATCTTATGATTAGTCACTGTGACTATCGAGGTGTAATTTAACGTTATGATGGAACGCTGTGATTATTAAGGGCAACTAGTGTGCCGAAAGGAACCTACCCTTCAAATGAATAGTTCTGCAATATCTTATAAGAGGCATCATGCACGGGGTTGTCCTCTATCATCTCAAGTCCTTTGTGGCAGTTACTTTCATTTGGCCACGCGCCGTTTTCCAAAATTTCCACACTCTTTTGCAAATTTCCTTTACGTTCTTTTTTTTTATAGTGAATCTGGAACCGAGGTGTATCAACTCTCTTTTCCCATTTCCCATATACCTTTCATAACTCCTATCTGCAATTCGGAATAACGTTCTCTACTCCATTACCTCGATATGTACATTTCAACACTTCTTACTGCCTTCCTGGCTAGCACAGTTGGCGCTTGGATGCCAGGTGGTGAGAAAGATCTCCGTTCAGAAGATGGAGTATCTCTCTTCAACCCAGAAGCGAAACATCCCACAGCCCGTCGCTGGACTCCAGCATCCGGCAAGATTCGAGGTGTGAATCTCGGATCTCTTTTCGTCTTCGAGCCATGGATTGCTGAAACCGCATGGTCAGCTATGGGTTGCGGTCCATACCAGTCTGAATTCGATTGCGTGGCTGGTTTGGGACAAGCAAAAGCTAATGCTGCATTTCAAAATCATTGGAAGACTTGGATCAATGCTAATGATATTGCACAAATGGCAAGCTTCGGTATCAACACAATTAGAATCCCAGTCGGATATTGGATGATGGAAAGTTTGGTTTATGCCGATAGTGAACACTTTCCTCAAGGCGGTTTCCAGTATCTTGAGAGTATTTGCAACACGGCTGCTAATGCCGGATTCTTCATCATTATCGATATGCATGGAGCTCCTGGAGCGCAAGTTGCAAGTAATCCGGATTCAGGACAATATGCCTCGACTCCCGGTTTCTATGCTGATTATCAATATGCTCGTGGAGTACAATTCCTCTCTTGGCTCACAACAAATATTCACAAAAACCCTGCTTTCAGAAATGTTGGCATGATTGGTATTGTGAACGAACCAGTGCAAGATGCTGGCCAGGCTGCGGGTATGATTTCGCAGTTTTATCCCGCGGCATACAAGGCCATTCGAGCTGCTGAATCAGCGGCAGGTGTACAGCCGAACAATTTCTTGCATGTTCAGGCTATGGATCAAGGATGGGGCTCTGGAGATCCAAACGCTGGACTGGCTGGGGGTGTTTCTTTGGCTTGTAAGTTCTTTATTTTTCCATTCCTTTCCCAAAATCCTTCGCACAACCCAATCTTTCTCTCAATGAGATTTCTAACATATACTTTCACATATAGACGACGAGCACCGCTACCTTAAATGGTCTAACGTGGCCGTCTCCCAAACCGCCTACCTCCAATCTTCTTGCACATATAATCCTATTTCCAGCACCGGTGGCCCGACAGTCGTAGGAGAGTTTTCTCTTTCTCCTCCTGACAACGTACAAGATACAGCGGGCTGGACGACATCTACTCAAGGTGCATTTTACAAAAAATGGTTCGAGGCACAAGTCATGGGATATGAGAATCACGCATTGGGATGGATTTTCTGGACTTGGAAGGCACAGTTGAATGATTACCGTTGGAGTTATTTGGATGCGGTAAACGCGGGAGTTATTCCAAAGGATTTGAATAGTGTGGCTGGAAGTGGTGCTTGTAACGGTTTCTAGAGAGGAGAGAGTAAAAGAAAGGGGGATACGGCGGATTTTTTGAATGGCGTTGGAAAGTTGAAATCGTATTCAAGGGGCGGGGTTGGTGCATTTCGAGGGGAAGAATTTTGCGATCGCATTTCCGTGTGAAATAGCTTCATGATACTCCGTACATCTTGAGTCGCTCGAAGTTTACAAATTCTTGATAATATCATAATCATTGATACCTTTTTAGTAATTCATACAACCAATTCCATTCATCTCAAGTAATTCGTCACCTTCATGATTGAAAAAAGACGTCATCATCAAAATCATGTCCACTAGCCAAGCCCCTTAGTCAGATCTCAAGTACGTACAACCTTATTGATCCCTCATCTTTCAGTACCTTAAAATAACCTATATCCGCAGCATCGTCAGAAACACCAAGCCCAAGCTCAATTTACCATTTGAGATCATACACAACGATGGCCCGCACTTGTAATGTTCCCCAAGATGACGAATCCCACTCCCTGATGGTCGTTGAGATTGTCAATTAGCTTGAGACACATAAGCTTATAAATCCAACGTTGCACCCATCTTATTTATACTTTTTGTCATAGATGATTCGCGAAGAGACTGCGTTTAAGGATTGTATGATTTATGTACTGTAGGTTGTAGTGTATTTCAAATAATCTTCAGGTAAAATTGGACAAATTTGGATTTGTGGGATGATACGATTGAAGGATGATATTTACAACCTTTATCGCAATAATTGCCGGAAATGATATTGGAGAACTTTCAACTCATGTGTTCGAGCATCAAGCTTCAGTACCCATGACATTAGCACTTGAGTCTTAATCCATTTGTATCATGCTCTACAAGAAGCATGTGTAATTATAAAATAGACATCACGAAGAAATAAACATTTAACAATCGATACGACCGCAAAGACCGAACATAAATAAATTTATTAAACTCATTTCAATTTATTTATGATATATAATCACAGGATCAAATACCCTTCTAAATAACAGTAAAAGTAGCATTTGCTCTCAAGTCCGCACTCGAACTTCCGATCTGCACGACGAAGTCTCCTGGCTCAACTACATATTTCATTCTAATATTCCACAATCCGACCTCCTCGACCTTTAAATCAATGTTGACGGTTTCGGTCTCTCCGGCTTTAATTGCTACTTTAGAGAAACCCTTGAGCTGAATATTTGGAACAACGACGCTGCTAATCACATCTTGGACGTAAAGTTGTACGACCTCCGAACCATCACGAGTAGAGTTGTTAGTGATAGATACCGTGGCGGTGATGGTATCATTAGCGGTGACGTTTGTGGCTGAGAGGGTAACATCTGAGTATTCAAATGTGGAGTAGGATTTTCCATATCCGAATTCGTAGAGAGGCATGGGGGAGTTGAGGACATATTGGTGGCCAAAGGAGAGAGTTCCGTTGGGGAAGGCTTCTCCTGGGTAGTTTGGACGCCCGGAATTCCAGTAGTCGTAGTAAATTGGGGTAGTTCCAATATCGTATGGGAAACCGACAGAGAGTTTACCACTTGGGTTGACGTCACCGAAAAGGACATCGGCGAGTGCGTTTCCTCCTTGTTCGGAGGGGTAAAATTGTTGGACCAGTGCAGATGCGTTTGCGGAAATCCATGCTTCGGTGATGGGTTTACCGGAAGAAAAGACGACGACAGTGGGTTTTCCAGTATCGATGATGGCTTTGACCAAGTGGGGCATGGCGCCAACAAGGTTCAAGGATGAGACGTCGACATGCTCTCCTGTTGTGGCGTTGAGTCCTTGCCAAAGTTGGTTTTGATCTCTCGACCATGTTCCGACAACGACGACAGCTACATCGGCAGCTTTAGCAACGGAAACAGCCTCGTCAAATCCAGACTGGTCATTGGACCAGCGCTCGCAACCTTGAGCATATGTAACGCCTAGAAAAGGTTAGCTATGGCATAAATATACGTTGAGATTGAAATCTTACTTCCTGAACTAGCAGCTTGTATTCCGTCCAATGGAGTTACTCCACGGTACATACTTCCGTTAACGACGTAGTCACCATACTAGAACTGATTAGATAAAGAATGCAAGAATGATTTTCCATAACATACGTTCATGAATCCATGTGCCATGGGTCCAATCACTGCAACATTGGCCGTTTTTGAAAGAGGAAGAACACCCTTTCCATTCTCTAACAAGACAATCGACTCAGCATCAAGTTCTCGAGCCAAGTCAATATGCTCTTGAGTGTGAATCAAAGATGCAGTCTCATTGGCTGGTGCTGCGAGATATGGGTTCTCGAAAAGACCTTGGACAAATTTTGCGCGAAGAAGACGCGATACAGCGGTGTCTACAATGTCGATGTCCAAAACTCCAGACTCGACAAGGTCTGGGATTTTTTGGAAATTGAAAGAGCCACCACCCATCTCGACGTCATTACCTGCAGGAAGTGCCTGTGTGTGATTAGCAGAGCTTCAACTCGATACGAAGATTACTTACAAACATGGTTACCGCATCTGAATCGATGGGTAGTCCGTTGCCTTTAGATCGACACATCTTGAAAGCATCACAGAGACGATCTGTCGCACCAGCATCACTGGTTACCCAGTATTTGTACCCCCATTCTTCTCTGAGAATTTCAGTGAGAATGTGATAATCAGCGATAAGTGCAACACCATCATATGAATGGTAAGCAGACATGATAGACCAAGCATCGGCATCCATGATCATACGCTTGTATGGTGGTAAATAGGTGGTCCGAAGTTCTCTTTCTCCACCATGTTGTGGGCCAGTGTTCAATCCTTGTTCAGGAGTTCCAAAGGCTGCAAAATGTTTCACTGTCGAGCTGACATTTCCAGCTTGTAGACCTAGTTCTATTAGAACTACTCTCCCGGATTAATAATTTGGTTAACGTACCTTTAACATAAGCATACCCCATCTCGCCTGCTAAGTATCCATCCTCGCCAAAGGTCTCTTCGACTCTTCCGTATCTCAATTCACGGGCCAAATCTCCCAATGGTCCAAAGATTTGGTTAACACCAAGAGCAAGTGACTCTTGTGCAATTGCTGCTCCCATCTTCTTAATTAAGTCAGGATTCCAGGAGCAAGCCTGTGCAATAGGCGAATTGAAGATTGTCGCATTTCCGATCAAGAAACCATGAATACCTTCACTTTGAACCAAAGCTGGAATTCCCAAGGTTGTGTTATGCATAAGATAGTCTTGTGCTTGTCTTACTCCGTCCGCAATCAGCTGTTGCGCAACTGGATATCCAACATAAAATTGACCAGCGCGAGTCGCCATGTTCCATGCCAAACCGGTTGCATTGAACGTGCCATCTGTCATGTTACGCCAATTTGAGATATCGCCCTGGATCAATTGGGCAGTCTTATCTTGGATGGTCATCCGCGACAGTAAATCCGCAACTCTGTCATCCACATTTGCATTTGGATCCTTGTACACTGGAGTGGAATTGGTGTACGACGCATTGGCGGTGTAGGCAAGCAAAGCCGCCACAGATGCTGAGGGGACCTTCATCTTAAGTATGGAGAAGAAGTAATATCTTCTTGAAAGGTATGCTTAGTAGAAGGAATCTGACGCTGGGAATGCTTCGCTATTTAATGCTCACAGGAAAAACGACCCAGACCACGGAGTGCACCTTCCAGCATCATATTCGGCCTTGCATCTTTAGTTGCATTTTCTCATCTCTCTTATTCACTGGGTAAAGAGATACTTTTGTCGGGGTGACTTGTGGGGAAAGACGTGATCTTGGTTCATGGATCCGAGCCAACCAGTCTGGATGCAACCCGAGACAAAGGTAGCCGAATCTAGGACAATTGATCCCGCGCCCCCCGCAAATACATCTTGGTTTCGACCTGCAGCCTTAGACACTCGTATAAGAGCTCGTGATACGTGGGGATGGATGTGTGGAAAGGATCTGGAAATCAGAATCTTAATTGATTCTCAAACTTAACTCGTGGAAGCTCTCCAAAATTGCGGTGGATGTCCTTCCGGAACAATATTCGTGCGAAAATTCAATCTCAACTTCTTCATCCGGTGTGGATATGCAAGGCGGAGCGGGTATGGGCGGATAAATAGAGCTACCCCTCACTAAATCAGCGTATCGGAGCCCTTGGCGAAAATTGTATTTAGCCAAAAATAAGACGACCCAGAATTAATTATTGGGAAGTGGGGTGTTTTGATGAAATAACATGTATGACAGTTAGGTGTGTATATGAACTTTTAATAAGATTGAATCGATTGTGAACTTTATTATTGCTCGACTTCGAAGATTGATTCTTAATTTGAAAATAACAAAGTAATCATTTGACTTAGCAGATTACAACAGAAGTTCTCAGGATGAAGTTCAGAGATGGAATGTGGTTGCCGGCGGAGGGGAAACGACTGGAATACGCTGAAGAGGTATATGCTATTACGGAACGTGAGGATGGCAAAGCATTGAGTTTGCTATGCCCAACCAGAAAGATTTTTGCCAGGTCAGATTCATTGAATTTGAGTACCTTGACGATCGTAAGTCAATCCACTTGATAAGTATAAAATAAATATTGATCTTGAAAAGGATATAGAAGCTCCATTTGATGGAGTGATATCCATCGAGACCACACACTTCTTGGGTGCTCTCAATCCAGGACCTCATTTCGATCTGTTTCCAGAAGGAAAGCCAGAGGACAGTCAAGTCGAAATAGCGAAAACAGAAAAGTCAACCACTCTGAAATCAGGATCGTTATCGGCTACCGTGAAAACTGGCAATCATGACTTCGAAATCCGATTTCATGCTACAGATGGCTCGAAAGAACTTACATCCTTGCTCAATCGAAGTGTTGGCTTAGCGTATAGTCCTGCAACTAGCAATCCTATGCAAATCGCAGATATGAGGGACTTTGAACATTATATCTTCACTCAATCGACACTCTCAGTCGGAGAATCCGTGTTTGGTTTAGGGGAGAGGTTTGGAGCATTCAATAGGGTTGGCCAGTCTATTGAGCTTTGGAACGCAGATGGAGGAACTTCGAGCGACCAAGCTTACAAAGTTCGTTTTGCCTCGTTTGAATCTGTGGGCGATACTAACGAGATATCAGAATGTACCATTTTGGATGAGTTCGCGGGGATATGGTGTATTCATCGATACACCTGATAAAGTGGACCTGGAAATCGGAAGCGAGAGATGCTGCAGAGTTCAGACCAGTGTGGAAGGCCAAAGATTAAAGTGGTATGTACCTTGTATTGGATCTTTACTGAGTGTCAAATA